CTTTCTCTCTTTCTCTGCCTTTGTCTCTGTACTCGTACTGCCATGCTCTTCCACCCACACTCCCTATGTTGCAAGCAAATCCGGCTTACGCTGGACTTCCAGGTTCTTGACCCGTCATCAATTTTGCATGTATACATGCATGTATACATACAGACATATATATATAGAAACACACACACATCTCTATATATATACATTTATGTATACACATATATACATATATACATTCATCTACACAGAAATGTATAGGTATGTATATATGTGTGTGGGTATGTGTGTGTGTGTCTGTGTATGCATATATTTAAGTTTGCATGTATGTATACATATAGATATGTATAGATATATCATGTATGTTTAAATATATGCATACATTTATGTATGTTTACGTGCATATATGTATATATATGTCTGTATATATAGATTTGCATGTATATACGTATGAATGTAGATTTGTATGCATGTATGTATGTGGATATGTATGTATGTGCGCATATATGCTTGTAAGCATGTTTGTATGCATGTATGCTTGTATGTATGCTTGTACGTATGTATGTATGTCTGTACTTATGTATATATGTATGTATATGTTTGCGTTTGTACATATATAGAGATAAATTCAAGAGTACATGTGTATTTTTCCCCTAAACCAGATGGATACATCGCTATGGGGTGTTTGCAGTCGTGTCTGCAGTAAGGAAGTCAGTACTTTTTTTCTTTAATTTGGTAAAATAAGGTACTGTGAAAAATCAATGATTAAACACAAGAGAGTCATAGAATAGGGATATATTAAAAGGAAAAATGAGATAAAGCGTAAAAAGGAAAATATAGACATTCTGGGATGAAAATGGAGAAACAAAGAGAGAGAGCGAGAGAGAGCATGAGATATGAATAAAACAATAAGACGCTGAAGATAAAGAAAGGCAAAAACGGAAGGGCTATGACGTCATGCAGTAGGAATAAAATGAAATATATATATATATATACATGTGGATATTAGTGTATATTTATAATTATATATATATATATATATATTTGAATACACATACATATATAAATATCTGTGGATATATACATACACATATATATGAATAAAAAATTAAACTATTCATTATGTGTTTGTTTTCATATATATATATATATATATATATATATATATATATATATATATATATATATATATATGTGTGTATATATATATATATATATATATATATATATATATACATATATATTTGAATATATATACATAAATATATATATTTAAAAAAAAGATATATATGTATACATATATAAATCTTTGCACACATCCACACATAAATATATATAAATATATAAATATGCATATAAATATATATGTTTATATGCAGACTTATATGTTTATATAATATATATATATATATATAAATTCATGAATATACACATTTACGTATATGTTTACACATATATGAATATATATGTGTATATATTTATGTATACACATATATACATATATACATTCATCTACACAGAAATGTATAGGTATGTATATATGTGTGTGGGTATGTGTGTGTGTGTCTGTGTATGCATATATTTAAGTTTGCATGTATGTATACATATAGATATGTATAGATATATCATGTATGTTTAAATATATGCATACATTTATGTATGTTTACGTGCATATATGTATATATATGTCTGTATATATAGATTTGCATGTATATACGTATGAATGTAGATTTGTATGCATGTATGTATGTGGATATGTATGTATGTGCGCATATATGCTTGTAAGCATGTTTGTATGCATGTATGCTTGTATGTATGCTTGTACGTATGTATGTATGTCTGTACTTATGTATATATGTATGTATATGTTTGCGTTTGTACATATATAGAGATAAATTCAAGAGTACATGTGTATTTTTCCCCTAAACCAGATGGATACATCGCTATGGGGTGTTTGCAGTCGTGTCTGCAGTAAGGAAGTCAGTACTTTTTTTCTTTAATTTGGTAAAATAAGGTACTGTGAAAAATCAATGATTAAACACAAGAGAGTCATAGAATAGGGATATATTAAAAGGAAAAATGAGATAAAGCGTAAAAAGGAAAATATAGACATTCTGGGATGAAAATGGAGAAACAAAGAGAGAGAGCGAGAGAGAGCATGAGATATGAATAAAACAATAAGACGCTGAAGATAAAGAAAGGCAAAAACGGAAGGGCTATGACGTCATGCAGTAGGAATAAAATGAAATATATATATATACATATATATATATATATATATATATATATATATATATATATATATATATATATATAACTTATGAGACACTTAGCAAGGTGAAGATTAAATGGAAATGCAGAATCAGTTATTGATTGATGAAGGTCATTCTGACGAATTCAGAAAATGCGTACAAAGTCAACAAGGATTTTCTCATGGATTGTATATGCAATTGCGTAGCAAATCCTCATTGTCAGCTCATCTTATCTGAATCCTATTACTCTGCACCTACAAAAAATAATAGAATTCTCTATCCACTGACAACGGCTTTATATTAAACTACGCAAGACCTCTCTGAAGCCAGCTCCTGAACAGTACCAAGACATGGATCATGAAAATCCTTTATAATATGTAGAAAAGCTTCCAATATATATCTTTAAGATAATAGATTATAGAATAAAAAATAATAGATGATGATTTTAGTTTTTTTCTCTTTCCTTTACTGGCAGCACACGCTACGTGTCAAATTACATCGTCCACTGTCTCAGACTGTACAGCACTTTAAATACGACGTAATAAACACTTGAAAATAACGTTTTTTGGACACCTGGTGTAGGAATGATAAACCAATGGTGATATGAAACATATTAGGTCAGTTGTTTCGTATAAATAACGTCCTGTAGTCTCAGCTCTTTGGGCATGTGGCTCGTTTTCCCGAGGAAGATCCAGCTCATAGGGTCATCTCCGAGAGGGTTGACCCAGGCTGGAGAAGACCAAGGGGAAGGCCACGGAACTCTTGGCTGAAGCAAGTCGATCAGATCTGCCAAGATGTGCTTGGGGTGGGAAGGGATGCTGCGTGGAGGCTTACTTGGAGGGACCCTAGGAGGTGGAAGCAAAGGTTGTTGAATATGCGCAGACTGCATTTTCCCCAACTTAGTCATTTTATCGTTTTCTTTAACTTTTATTAATGACTCTCAATGAATCTAAAAAAGAGAATAGATACTATGCCTTTGGTATATCATAGGTATGATCAGACTTTGCATACAATTTCTGTAGAACAGTTGACGATATACTACGCAGATTCTTTTATGCGGTATATCCAAACGAGATACAAACTGCGTTCATATTGTATGTTGATTAAATAGCATTGTTTTGAATGATGAAAATCTCAGCATTGCATGAAAACGACTTCCACCAAAGCTTCCTATGTCCCACGTGAACATCAAACGCCGCTCGTCCGTTGTAAAACCTTTCCTACTATCTGTGTTATTTGCCGTCCGTGTTATACTCGTTTTCTTTCATGTTAGCGGGTATCTTCGTGCATGTGTGTATGTATGTATATATGAATGTGTTACAGCACTCAAATTATCACGAATCAACCATCAACCAGGAACCCACAGCCAAAAGCCATCGCGCGTGTATGTAGGGCTTCGGCAGTATCGCCCCCTTCCTCTTAAGAACGACGCCCTCTGCACCTGCCAGGGGAGAGGGGAGGGTCCTGCCTGCGGGTCCTGTGTTTCGCGTCCGCACACTTACAATCAAACTGATACTTACACTCATAGTCACACTTACATCGACATCTATACACACGTCTAAGAGTACCCACACACGCACATACACGCACACGTTTTACAAGGTCTATATAAGTAAGATCTCGTCACTTGCCAGTTCGGCGCGGCGTTGGATGATAAGGCCTATGACGTCACATGGTACTAGTTGAGAACGTTGGAAAGGCGGGGGGGGGGGGGGGAGGTAGTATAGGGGAAGGAGATATTGAGAAACGGTAGCCCACTTCAACAAAAAACTAAAGTGTTTTTTATAGGTATGTAAAGACTGACCATATATACAAATTATAATTTCTTTACGGTAGTTATATATCAAAATACCGTAAAATGATACAAAGATTTATAATTGACACACGCTTTGTAACAGGTGTATCGTTAGAAAACGATTTATCGGTAAGTGAATCCTCATTTGGAAACACTTCCCCGGATAGTCATCCAGAAATGTGTCCCCAATATTCATCTAAACATATTCCCCCGAATACTTCAAGAAACACTCATCCAAGAAACATTTCCTCAAATACTCTCCAAGAAACGTTCATTGGAATAATCAATTCACAAATACCTTCATATGTTAAACCTCAATAACAGAAGCCATCGTTCGTTCTACGTCCGTAACACCAAAGTCCTTAACCGGATCGTGCAGGCTCTCATAACGATAGTGACGTTAGTAGAAGTGATAACAAGGAGGACGAAGGAAATATGAATAATGTCTTGTTTTTTATTTCTTTTTTTGGGGGGGATTAAATTATTCCTACGGAAAACACTATGTATAGAGAGCAGTGAAAGCAGTTTTTTTTTTTTTTTGTTTGTTTCCTTTTCAGAATCCTACGTTTATCATAGCTTGTTTTTATTCTTCTTAGTTTCACATCCAGTAATGATGTAGTCTTATATGAAGTATTTTTGACGAGGGAGAACAAATGACTGAATGTAAACAATGCTACGTCAACGGAAATACACGCAGTTCAACCTTACATTTTTCTTATTTCTCGATAGAAGGAATGTCTCCTTTGGTATATATCTGTGAAAAAATCTTTTGTTTTACAAATACGACCAAAACTACACAAAATCTATTTCCTTTAAGAAAGCATTATATTAATACTAAAAAACTTCCAAAGTCTACGGGTGACCAGTGTAATACTACAGGAGTAAACACGACTTGGTAACTTCGAGTAGGCGGTCCTGCTCGAGACGTCATGCTCTCGCCCACTGTTGGTCAGTTGCCTGTAGAGGTCGTTGGGAGGTAGACTGTGAAAGTCACTTGAAGAAACACTGGATTCACGAAATGTAATTATTTTGATTGATGAAAATAAGGAGAGTGTTGATAGTCCGTCTTACATAAGTAAAAAAAAATAAAAACAAAAAAGTATTAGTATGTTCCATATGTCTAGAGGAATTCCAGATATTTGTCCACCGAACAAATTTGAACTTTACAACTGATATGAAATTAAATGTTATAAACTAAACATTAGAACCGATATGAAATTATAGAGTATGATAAACTAAACACGATGTTGCAAAGTGACTCAAACATGTTAATGGCAGTGATAACAGGTTTGGTGATTTTCACCGTTGGACAAGCCTCGCCTCCTCTACTGGTATCGCCGTCGTCTCGTAGAATCTTTCCTGAAGGACCTGCGTGGGTCACGACTGACAAAGTTGCAACTGATTTACCAGATCTCAACTTCGGCACTCGCTCACCCTTCATCTCTGAAGATATAAGCACGACTTGGGACCCTGATATATCTACAGATGTGTTTACGACTGCCAGTGATGAGACGAGAGCCACCACGACAGAGGGGGCAGCGGAAGGCGGCAGCAAGCCAGGGACAGTCGTCAACTGCTTCTGCGACGCCGGCGAAGTTTATGTTAACGGCGTTTGTCGTTCATATTCAAAGGTAACTGTGATCCAAATGCATATTATAAGGCATAGTTCTAAAACTGCCCTGGTGAGATTTCATTCAAACACTTTTATCTCCTTGATAATATTTTAATTAAAGTATTCGAAGTAAAGTTGAGTGTCATTATGAAGCAATTGCATGCTTTCCGATTATATCGTAAACTCCTATTAATATACAATCACTGACCTATCTATTAATGTATCTATCGTATATATCAACGATGATGCATAGATGTATGTTGTTGAGTATAAGCATTAAAATGTTGAAAAATGTCATTACGATTTCATATATATGTTATTCTTTGTTATATGACCTTCATTTTTTTCAGAAACCCATTGCAGAGAAGCGAGTGATAATAAAAGACCTGGAGTGCGACACAGAAAGTGGAGTCAGGATGCTTAACTTCTCAAGAGAACAGTTTATACTAAGAGATCGCGGAGACACCGTGCTGTCGAAAGAAGTTGTGAAACTCGGTAGTCTCCGCATCAAAGATTACTGCATTACTTACTCTTTGGATGAACACAGAGAACGCACCTGGACCGTGAAGGTGTGCGTGGACCCGCCAAAAGTACCACGATGCTGTCCACCAGGCCAATCCATGAAGGACAATGTGTGTCGGTCGGCTCGTACGCCAGAGCCTCTGGCACCCCCGATCTCTGCAAATCCGTATGGTCCAGCTATATCATGGCCCCATATCGAGACCTATGAAAAGCCCCTCAACTGTAGCGTGGAACCCATGAAGGATCTCCCACTGATACCCAGAGTCTCCTACTTAGCATCGCACACCAAGGGCTTGGTCCACATATGGAACGCTAAAGAGAACGATTACAAGTTTCAGTACACATACGATCCCAAATTCTGCGTTGACGGAAGGCAGAATCTCGATGGATCGGCGTCATATTCAGTAAAGGTATGCTTCGAAAGTCCTATGGAGCAACATCAAAGATTGTGTTCCGAAAAAGTCTGTGTGAGAAAATGTTGTGCGGAGGGAGAAATAGTGCAAAATTATTTGCACTTGTGTGTTCGGAGTTTAGCGGCAGAGTTTGCACCGCGCATGAACACCGAATACAACCGCGTGATAGGCAAACCCATATGTGACCGTTACACACATATTATAGACTTCCAATTGTTACCCTTCACGGGGTATCTCTACACACGGAACACAACTCTACCACCGAGTGACTACTGCATTGACAAGTTTTCTGATCGAGAAGGCAACATAAGTGACGGTGCCTTAGCATGCATCAATTTTAGTACATGGAAGAAGGCTCAGAAAATCGTGTTCCTAGTCTGCATGACCATTTCCCTGGTCTTCCTCCTTATAATCGTCGTCTGTTATTGCGCAGCACCAATAATGCTAAAGAATAAAGGATGGTATCACTTGTGTTATGTGGCGTCACTTATCATTGCATATTTCTCTGAAATCATGTTACAGTTACCTAGCAGCGTTCGGCAGCCGATAAGCTGTATCGGATTTGGTGAGTCGTTGAACTCATATATTTTTATTATATAATAGAATCTTAGTTGATATTTGAAATGATTCTATATAAAAGAGATGGAAGCCTTTACTCACTTTATGCAGAATCCACAAACCATTTTTACTAAAACATGACTATCTTATTTCCAGCCATATTAATGCAGTTTGGATATTTGTCAGCATTTTTCTGGCTCAGTATCTTTTTTTTTGATGTCTGGAGAATATTCAGGTAAGTCAAGCACATTTAGATAAGAATAATATGCATTCTTTTAATTAAATATATCACCTTTAATGTTTATAAAATTTATTGTTTTAACCATATACATATATATCTACACACACACACACACACACACACACAGACTCACACACACACATATATGTATATGTTTATATATATATATATGTTTATATATATATATGTATATATATATATATATATATATATATGTTTATATATATATATGTATATGTATATATATGAAACAAATGTGTATGTATATATATAAAACAAAAGTGTACACACACACACACACACATATATATATGTATAAAACAAATGTGTATATAGACATGTGTCTATATATACAAAGTACATATATGTGTATATGTATGTATGTATACATATAAATATATGTGTGTATGTATATATATGTGTCTTTATATATATAAGTACATATATATCTATGTGTATATATATATGCAAATGCATATGTATATATATATGCATATTTATATGTATGTATATGTATATGTATGTTTATATGTATATATATATATGTTTATATGTATGTATAGATGTGTATAATTGTATATATGAATATACATATACTACACATACACATATATATTTACACATATATACACACATATAAATATATATGTATACATGTATATATATCCTATATGTTTTTATATTTACATGTATATGTATGTATATATTCATAGATTTATGTATATATATGTTTACACATATATACATATGTATATATATACATACACGTATATGTATGTGTGTATACGTGTGTCTGTTTATATATATATTATTTATGCATATATATACATATAGACATATATAAATATATACATATATTCATATTCATACATATATATATTTACATATACATATATTTACATAGATGTGTATATGTATACATGCATATATGTATATATATATATATATATATATATATATATATATATATATATATATATATATTGATAGCTATAAAGTGATATGTATACATCTACATTTTTCATCATGATGATGTTATATAAACATTAGGAAATTTCTTTAACTTTTCCACTCATTTTCCTCCAGGAGCCTCAACAACAAACTGCGTCCACCTCGACCCATTCCTCCCTATGTCTACCATATTTATGCATGGGGTGGACCTCTTGTGATATGGTAAGGAAAAAAATGGTCTTTTAACGACGATAATGACTAAAAGACCTGTTAATGTTGTTTACGATTTAAAAATCTACCTTCACATTCTACGAAAAAAAAACAAAACACGTCCTTTCTCCCTGAATTTTGTCAAATTATTTGTAATATTGACATATTCTGTTTTTGTTAGTGGAATTTTACATTTTTTTGGCCTCTCATTTCAGTTCAGTCACACTAGGTTTGCAGTATGTGGATGCGGATGACGTTCCTTCTTGGCTCATTAAACCGCATCTAGGGGAATACAAGTGTTGGTTTGGAGGTAGGAAGTTCATATAATGTATATATGTATAACAAAAAAGAAAAGAAAAAAGGAAAGAAAAAATGTATAGTGTCTATAAATATAACTTGCTGAATAATTCGTATTGCATTTTGATCTTTACTCGGCATTCTATTTTTGAATGGGCAATGACTACGTAACAGAAAACCATTGATTTTCAGAGGATATGGAGAAGCTTGTGTTTTTCTACCTGTATATTGCCATCCTGTTATTTGCCAATTGTCTCTTCATTGGTCACACATACTGGGTCAAGAGAAAAATGGATAAAACTTTGGCGGCTCTTAGAGTTGACAAAAAAGGAAATGGCGAGAAAACTTCACCAGTTGTCCACAGCAAACAGAACTACTACTCTGAGTGAGTACAATCATTTATTGTCAGTATAGATATTGACAGAAAATGCTCAATATATACATATAAATACATACTTCCTTACTTTACTATCTGTATCACAAATATTTTGTTTGTCTCCTCTACAGATTCAAAACAAAGTTCTCGTTACTGGCTCTCATGTCGAGCTGCTGGGTGGCAGATGTTCTGTCTTGGCAAATTCCACCACCAGAGCTTTGGTGAGTGATATTTGGTTTCCTTATGATGATTGTCTTAAATATTTGACTGTTTCAACGGCCGTATTTAACATGGCTTTAACGTTCATGGCATCAGTCCTTTTAAAAAGGGTTTAATATTGTATTGTAAATAGTTAGGTAGGGTATGGTTTGTATGTGATTTCGAGTATGATTTTGAACATCAGAATTTTATCCTCTCTTCAATGAGATTAAGAGATTGATATCAGAGTTAATTTTTCAGGGCTCTCACTGACACACTGAACACACTCCAGGGTTTCTTCATATTCGTCATTTTCATGCAAGACAGACAGAAACGGCAGCACCTCAAAGAGAAACTCCTGAACCTTTTAAGATTTTTCGAGAACATCTTCAAGTAAACTGAAACTTACATCATGGTTTCATATCTGTTGACTCTTTCATCCTCCATCAAAACCACATCTGTATTCAAAAATGACAGGCGCTCTCTACAAAGATCCAAATCGTTTGACAGCGACAATGGCAGCATTTCCCTCTAACATACTCACACATCGCAAACGAGCAGCATTTCTTCAAGTAGTAGTGTTAGCAACATCTCCCATTGTTAGCGAACAAGGCACAAGGCTTTCTGGACTTAAATGAGTTAAGTAGAATATTTCTTTCCCACCCAGAAATTCATAATGACCAGTTTTTGCCTAGTGTTAAAATCCACTTGACAATGGACTTTCAGTGATAGACTGGAAAACTGGACAGTTCTCCAGCACAGTAAAAAAAAAATGTATTTATGTCCTGTTATAATTGTTTTACATCTATCTTCGATAACTAAGTACTGACTTGTACCTATGTAGGTAATAAAGAAGTGTTATCCATATCATGTCATATAAACATTGGATCTAACCATGATGCTTATGTTCTGAAAAGTAAAATGACATGCCCATGTGTTTGTGTGTCTGTTTGTGATCTGTGGCACAAATATGGGACACTGGATTCTTAGAAGTGCTGCAAGTACGGCAGTAAGCAGTGATAACTTTTAACGATTTTAATATTGCGTTGAAATCATATATCATAAACAATGTCTGGGAACCATGAAAATTGTGTTTTAAAAAAGTACAATCAAAATAGTGTTTGATAATCTTATGTAAGTGCGCTTAAATTACTTCTAAGGAAACGTGCCATGTGTCTGTGGATATCACAATACTGTTAAGTCATATTAAAGTGTGTGATGTTTAGAGTTTTGGAACTAATAGGTGCACATTTAAGACGTAGGTCAACATATAGACAGTATATTTATATGCATTGCCCCATATATTTAGTTTTCATTTATTAGCCACTCCATATAAATGTCTGTGTCAGATACTTTACATAATAGTTGATTATAACAATGTACTGCCCTGTATTATTAATTCCTATAAATTAGCCTTTTTTATATATGTTCAAATGCACATTACAGTACATGGAATTTTAAAGAAAATGATTAATTGATATGACGAGTATCATACCTGGCACCAAGTAGTTCGTTTAACACTGCATCGGTGATGGCACTAATGATATATATATTCATATATATATATATATATATATATATATATATATATATATATATATATACATATATGTGTGTGTGTGTGTGTGTGTGTGTGTGTGTGTATACATATATATGAATATATATATATATATATATATATATATATATATATATATATATATATATATATATATATAAACGTATATCTATACATGTATATACATATGTATGTATGTGTATTGATATATGCACATATATATATATATATATATATATATATATATATATATATATATATATATATATATATATATATATATGGGTTATATACATATATGTATATACATTATATATATATATATATATATATGTATGTATACGTATATGTAAATATGTATATTTATAAATAGATACACACACACACACATATATATAACTATATATAGGCATATATATAAATATATATACATAAGTATATATATGCATATATATAGATAAATATATGTGTATGTAAACAAATATACATATATATTTATGTTTATATACATTTATTTATATATAATTACATATATATGTATATATATATACACATATATGTATGTACACACACACACACACATACATATATATGTTGTGAGGTTTTCAACCCGCCCCACGGCCATACCCATTACCTATCCCCCCCTCTTCCTTGCCTCGATCCTTCTTTCCCTCTTGCACCCTTATTCGCACCCTCTTCTACTCGTTTTCCTTGCTCGTTCTACCTTTTATGTCTATCCCTATACTATCCGGCCTCCATCCTATCCCTATCCTACCCAGCATCCTGCCGTAATCCAAAGGGTGAGGCGAGCATAACAAGACCATTTCCTTCTGCCAGCCTCATTTTTACGCTTCTTTTTATTCCTGGCTGGCTCTTTTTACATGTATTTTAGCTTTATTTGTACCTTTTTCTACATATTACAAATAAAACTTCCAGTGAAATCTTTACAAATATGCTCATGACGTGCGGATAAAGACATCCACATCTGCTGTGAAAGCATTTTTTAAAACCTTTTTTTTTATCTCATATCTTAGGTTCATTTCTATTTTCTAATGGTTTCTTTTTATCTGTTCATCTTTTTAATCTCTCTTTTACAGAGAGAGAATGTTACTTATTTTACGATTTTTATTAATGAATCACAGCAGATTGTTTTACGTATTTTTTATGATAATTATAATTTCCTTATTCCTTTCGTTGAGCGTTTTATTTTGTTATTGGTTTTATCTTTTATATATTTGATCATAATATTCCCTATTTATCATTTTACAGTTTTATGTACTACGCCTCCGTCCGCGAGAGTTAATGTAACCCGCACGTTTTTTTTTTTCTTTCTTTCTTTTTTTTTATAAATGACGTAGTTACTCTGACTGTTCCGTGACTTTACCCTTTGGATTACCTTTCTGAATTTACACCACGGATGATGGAAAAGATTGGGAGAGGCCTACATCCTGCAGTGGATTGATTCAGGCTGATGATGATGATGATGATATACATATACATAAAAACACACACCACACACACACACACACACACACACACACACACACATATATATATCATGTGTACATATATGTTTGTATTTATAAACATATATATGCACCTACGCATAATATATATGTTTATATACATATACAAAGTATATATATATATATATATATATATATATATATATATATATATATATATATATATATGTGTGTGTGTGTGTGTATACACATCTAGGTATATGTATATATATAGGCATATATACACATATATACGCATAAACACACACACACACACACACACGCGCGCGCGCACACACATATATTTATTTAAGCACAAACACACACACATATGTATATACATAGATAGATATAGGTATAATGGAATCAAGACACTCTCCTATAAATTTTGCAGCTCTTGTGTTGTATGTTCACATGGAGTGTGGGGTGGAACTTCCTCGAATACAGCTGTAGTAAGAATTATTTGGCCTTAATAAAGATGATGTTGAATTTTATTTATGTTTTATTACCCCTTCCATTCTTAACAATGTAGACAACACTCCTTGGGGGATCCAGTGCCTCTTTCAGGTAGCTTATAGATTCAGTTTTCCCGCTCCTATTTGATTCTGTAGTTTCGATTTTGTTTCCATAGTTCATCGAAGCATATTGAAGAGGAAAGACGTCATATCGGGGAGATTTACACGAAACAAAACAGAGATCTCATGCAAATCTATAGATCTTATGAATAATTCTGATTAATTTTGTCAGCAACAAAAGAACGGACGTTATTTATACGAAACAACTGACTTAATATGTTTCATATCACCATTGTTCTATTATTCTTGTATTCTTATATAAGCATGTATGTATATATATATATATATATATATATATATATATATATATATATATATATATATATATGTGTGTGTGTGTGTGTGTGTGTGTGTGTGTGTGTGTGTGTATTACACAGGAGACAGAAATATTTTACCGTCAATCAATCAATCGCCGTGCCGTCTTCGATCGAAGGTTGGCAGCCAAAGACCTCCAAAGATCTCGCTCTTCCGCTTTCCTCTTGCATTCCACATACGATTCAGCTCTGGCCCATTCCTTGATGTCGAAGCAGGTCCCGCTCTGTCTCCCCCCATCTCTCTTCCCTTCCACCAATCCTTCTAACACCAGCAACTTCAAATCCCCAGCCGAGCCCCTAATAATTCTTTATGCTGGTAGAACACGTTTTTTGCCATTCCTATTCTTGATCTAATTTCCTCTTCGCACTTGCCATTTTCTGTGATTATACTTCCAAGATATTTGTACTTCTTGACTTGTTCGAACTCCGTGCCGCCGATCTTGACCCTGGGGATTCCTTCTTCGATATAGCCATTACCTTCGTCTTCTTAGCGTTCAGTTCCATTCCGTACTTCTTGCACGTAACTGTTGTAAACCTTCTGCTGTCTCCACGATCAAAAAAGTGTCATCCGCATATCTGACATTATTAATATTTTTACCATTGATGACAATCCCTTTTCTTTGATGTAATGTTTTTTTTTTTTTTCTTTCTTTCTTTTTTTTATAAATGACGTAGTTACTCTGACTGTTCCGTGACTTTACCCTTTGGATTACCTTTCTGAATTTACACCACGGATGATGGAAAAGATTGGGAGAGGCCTACATCCTGCAGTGGATTGATTCAGGCTGATGATGATGATGATGATATACATATACATAAACACACACCACACACACACACACACACACACACACACACACACATATATATATCATGTGTACATATATGTTTGTATTTATAAACATATATATGCACCTACGCATAATATATATGTTTATATACATATACAAAGTATATATATATATATATATATATATATATATATATATATATATATATATATATATATGTGTGTGTATACACATCTAGGTATATGTATATATATAGGCATATATACACATATATACGCATAAACACACACACACACACACACACACACACACACACACACACGCGCGCGCGCGCGCACACATATATTTATTTAAGCACAAACACACACACATATGTATATACATAGATAGATATAGGTATACTGGAATCAAGACACTCTCCTATAAATTTTGCAGCTCTTGTGTTGTATGTTCACATGGAGTGTGGGGTGGAACTTCCTCGAATACAGCTGTAGTAAGAATTATTTGGCCTTAATAAAGATGATGTTGAATTTTATTTATGTTTTATTACCCCTTCCATTCTTAACAATGTAGACAACACTCCTTGGGGGATCCAGTGCCTCTTTCAGGTAGCTTATAGATTCAGTTTTCCCGCTCCTATTTGATTCTGTAGTTTCGATTTTGTTTCCATTTTTCATCGAAGCATATTGAAGAGGAAAGACGTCATATCGGGGAGATTTACACGAAAGAAAACAGAGATCTCATGCAAATCTATAGATCTTATGAATAATTCTGATTAATTTTGTCAGCAACAAAAGAACGGATGTTATTTATACGAAACAACTGACTTAGTATGTTTCATATCACCATTGTTCTATTATTCTTGTATTCTTATATAAGCATGTATGAATATATATATATGTGTGTGTGTGTGTGTATTACACAGGAGACAGAAATATTTTACCGTCAATCAATCAATCGCCGTGCCGTCTTCGATCGAAGGTTGGCAGCCAAAGACCTCCAAAGATCTCGCTCTTCCGCTTTCCTCTTGCATTCCACATACGATTCAGCTCTGGCCCATTCCTTGATGTCGAAGCAGGTCCCGCTCTGTCTCCCCCTATCTCTCTTCCCTTCCACCAATCCTTCTAACACCAGCAACTCCAAATCCCCAGCCGAGCCCCTAATAATTCTTTATGCTGGTAGAACACGTTTTTTGCCATTCCTATTCTTGATCTAATTTCCTCTTCGCACTTGCCATTTTCTGTGATTATACTTCCAAGATATTTGTACTTCTTGACTTGTTCGAACTCCGTGCCGCCGATCTTGACCCTGGGGATTCCTTCTTCGATATAGCCATTACCTTCGTCTTCTTAGCGTTCAGTTCCATTCCGTACTTCTTGCACGTAACTGTTGTAAACCTTCTGCTGTCTCCACGATCAAAAAAGTGTCATCCGCATATCTGACATTATTAATATTTTTACCATTGATGACAATCCCTTTTCTTTGATGTAATGCCTCCTTTATCAAGTATTCACTATAGATACTGAAGAGAATGGGTGATAGTATGCTTCCTTGCAGTAGCGTAGCGAGGGGGGGGGCAAGGGGGAGATCCATTCTGTTGGAGGTGCAAGTGGTGCACATATAGTGTTATAGGCTACATTGTACGATAGTGTTATACATACATACATACACACACGCGCGCGCGCGCGCGCATGTACTTCTATCTATCTATCTATAAACACACACACACATGTGCGTGTGTGTTTTCCTGCCTCCCTTCCCCCACCCCTTTCTCTCTCTCTCTTATCGT